TCGATTTTGAATAGCAAACGGCGTGGAACATAATCTCCTCATCTTTCAAAAACACACTCTCGTTCAGTTGAACTCACCTGTTGTACGTTCTTAAGCACCATTCGACCGAGTGTACTAACAAAACCTGCACATCATAAGCAAGCATTAAATCAGATATCCCTTGCAACAAAAAAAAATGAAAAATTATGCTACAACAATATAAATCAGCTGCTTTTTTCGAGAAAATTTCATATATTTTTTTCTGGTTTCTCCGGATTTTTTTGACTTTAACAAGCACAGGGGAAGTTCTAGCAAGACTTATATATATATATATATATATATATATATATAAGAGAAAATGCTAAGCACTTCTTTGGGAGTCAACTAAATTATTTAGTGTTAAATAAACTACTTTAATACTTTAATACAAGTAGAAAATTTATCATCATTCAGATCATCAAAACCATTAGGAAGGTCTATTTGAATGAATGAGGATAGCCCTTATAACATCTAAATTCCAACTTTACCCCTACCTCGGGATTTCGGTTCGACATATCAAACAAATCCGCATATAGTACTTTTTACCTTCAAAAACACCAAGGTTACCTTCAAAAACACCAAGGTGACGGAAAAGATTTGTCGTGATAATTCCAGGATGAAGTGAATTTGCCGTTATATCCGCACCTTCTTCCTGTTCAAGAATCGTAAGAAATTAAATATATAAGTGATCTGCATTGGGTAATAATCACTCTGCATAAATATATAATGCTTACAAGTTACATCTAATGTGTATATTCAAGAACTAATGAAATTAGGAGAGTGTAGAATTAACTATAGTTACCTTTAAGCGTCTCGTCAGTTCATTAGCGTGCAATACGTTTGCAAGTTTTGATTGGCCGTACGCACCCCATCTGCTGTATCTGCATGTAGACAAGTAACATCAAATATTAGCATACAAACAAAAAAATAAATATCTCGAGAAAATGCAGGTTTCCAAATTCACGTCGAAAAGTATCATATATAAGTATATGTTATATATATTTATACCCTTCTTCATCATTGAGTTTGTCGAAACGAATTCCTTCTTTATATGGAAATCGGTGAGCCTCCGAGGAAACATTCACGATCCTTCCTTCTTTTTTCGTCTCGCGAGCTGTCTTTTTCATCGTGTCCAATAACAAATTTGCCAAAAGAAAATGACCTGCAAAACAAGATACATACAACCAATTAAAAATCGAATAAAAATATATAACAACCACAACAACAACAACAATTGTGGCAATTGGATTATAGAGCGAACACTAAAAAAAATGAGTTTCGACTAGATTCCTAATTGAACTATACTTTATTTTTAAATTATGTTGTTTAATTCATCCCGATACGTAATCAATACATGGAAAAAATAGATAATTACCCAAGTGGTTTGTGGCGAACTGCGTCTCGATGTTGTCTTTGGACAACTGGAAAGGGGGTGTCATTACTCCTGCATTGTTACTGACGAAATTCGAATATTAGAACAAAGTCGTTAAAATAAAACGAAACTAAATTATATACTTACATCAAGATGTTCAAGGGGCGACCCGAGGAGGAAAAATCGGACGCGAATTTTCTAACGGAAGCCAAGGAAGTGAGATCTAACTCCATTGCATCAACTTTAGCAGAAGGGATCTCTTTAACTATTGCTTCTTTAACTTGTTTGCCTGCATCCATATTTCTTATACCCATTACAACATGCACACCGCGCTTTGCAAGAACACGTGCCGTTTCTGTACCGATACCACTCGACGCCCCTATAATTGTTAATTAATAAAAAAATAAAAAATCATTATATTTGCGAAATGGGTAAACGAGAACTAATAAACCAACGAAAAAATCAAATGTACATACAAGATTAACCGGATCAAGACTAGTTTACCAACTAAAGCATCTTGAAAAATGTCCTAATATTTTGAATGTCGTCACTAATAGTTCATTTTGTTGTCACTTAATCCTTTCTATTATAGCTACATAGAAATAGTGACAACCATTTTTTATTGTCACTATATAGAATTACTGATACCATATTAGTGACAAACACAGTGACAACATTTTTTGCCTAACCCTCGTTTGATATCCACGAGGTCTTGCTACTTAAAAGCTTATTAGTGAAATCTACTTAAAAAGACTATTATTTTTTTAGTGACAAGATTTACAAACAGGTAAAAGAACTCAATGAGTGTGTGTGTGTTTGTGTGTGTGATTTTTTTATTTTTTTTTTTAATTTATTATTATTTACAAAACGTGCCTAAATTACAACACACACAAATTAGCCTCCATTTTCCATCCAGACAATTTTACAGCCACATAAAAAAAGGCAAAACATTTTTCCAGATAAATAAAAATATAACATAAATTAATTATATAATAAATAATAAGAAAAGAAATGCAGATATATGAATCATCCTGGACCTGTAACAATGGCGGTGAGGCCAGAGGCGTCGATTCCGGCGGTAACTTCGTCGGCGGTGGAGGCGGAAGAGAATCCCGACGGCCCATTTCTTCTAAACAGCCACATCTTCTCCGGAATATTCTCAATCTTCTTTTTCTTCGTCGGGATTAATTCAGTACTGTTCAAATCCAAAGAGGATATGTTTCTGAAATTACAAGCAGAAATCAACATGAAAATGGTGATGGTGATACACGAACACGACGAACGCGTGAAAAAAGTTGTGATGTGTTCTTTATAGCCAATTAAGGTGCGGCCATTCTATGACTAAATCGAAGAGTGTGTCGCAATTTGCATGGGAATGGATATATATATTATTATTTAATTATTTATTATTTGTGTGGTGTCCACAGCGCGTGCTTATCACTTGCTTCTCTCTCTCTCTCCCTCACACTAAATTACTAATTAGAATCCTCTCTCATTTACTAGTAATTAATTTGTGCTAATCCAAGCTTAGCTGTAAATTTGATGATGGTTCTATTTTGTATTAAACTTACTGTATATACTATGTAGTGACGTCATAAATATTAATGTTGAATGTACTCATTGTTGTATACCACGTACGATACGTATCGCGATACGATACAATTTCTATGAAAACGATACAACTCGTCATGTATATCGATTTTAATCAAATACAACTATATATTGCAACACGGCACGATAATTACCACAAATGTTTCGAGGGTGATTTGTGCAATTTTCAGCATATTTGGTGGTGACATCTTTTCTATAGTAGTCATATTTGTTTTTTAATTAAGGCAAAATCACAAAAAAAATGCTTCAGATAAAAGCAATTTATATTAGCATATGTGATTAAAGTAAAACTGATACTGACATGTTTATGACTATTGTCCTAATTAATAATTTAATGTTGAAACTTGAATTTATATAATTTTGAACGAATGTTCTGACTTTGAAATATTAATTTTTACATGTTTATCGTATTATTATAATAATATGTGATATATATTGTACACTATTTTTAATAGTTAGTCAAATATCTTACAATACGTGAATACGATATGATAAATGATACAATACAATATCGGGAGGAAAACGATATGGACGCGTGCTTATCATTCGCTTCTCTCACTAATTACTACATTAGAATCCTCTCTCATTTACTAGTGATTAATTGTGCTAATCCAGCTTAGCTGTAAAACTGATGATGGTTCTATTTTGAATTTACATACTGTATTTACTATGGAGTGACGTCATAAATATCATTTGATATATTAGTATTTTTGGGAGTAAATCATTGGGTGGGAGGTAATTAATTACATTATGATTCTATTTTTCTGGAGTGACCTGTTTTATTTAATAACATTTATAATCGGATTGGATTTTATTGTTGCAAACTGTAATTCATCAATTGCAGTAACTATCGACATATTAATGATTGAATACCAATTAAACCAAGGAGGACTAGGGATTATTCTGTTTGTGGTTGCGTTGAAATAAATCGCGTGATTATTAACCGTTGATCTGCAAATAATCAAACACACACACGCACACCCATGTCTATGTGTGTTTAGTGCATGATTATTTAACTACATCAATGGGGAAAATCAACCCATGTATATAACCTGATGTAGCATCTCAATGACGGCTAGGATAACACGTTATTTTTTTTAGGCATATTTATAGACAGACCCGTTCCTGAGAATTCGGGGGCCCTAGGCGAGGTTTAAAGAACAACTGATAACAGGGGCCCCTATTTGATAAACCATTTTTTTTTATTAATGGGGTGTTCGAAATTGAATGTATTAAAAAATATATATAAATAATATTTTTCTAAAAATGATGAAATAAAAAATTACGGGGGTTCGGGGGCGGTGCCCCCGAAATATTTTTTGAAATATATGAATATAAAGTAGCGAAAAATATGGAAAAAAAATCAAATTAACAATATGATTTGATGGTTCACTTCCTCCCGTGAAATATAATATTTACCGTGAAATATAATATTTATAGCAAATAGACTTCATAAATATTTATAAACTTGAATACACTAATGAATATTGATTCTTATTTTATAATAAAAATAAGTAATTAACACATTATGAATTTAATATTTAGAGGACCCAAAGTTAAGAAAATTGCAACAATATCTATTGATCATTTAGCTTAAATTTATTTTAGAACCGATGTTTCAAAATATTATATATAATATTTTTTTTAAATAAGTACTAATATATAAAGTGTAAATAAAATAATTTGGGGGCCCAAAATTTTCGTAAAAATTCAGGGGCCCTAGGCGACCGCCTACTTCGCCTCCCCTCAGAAACGGCCCTGTTTATAGAGTGAATGTTTATAAAATGTCAATTCAAGGTGTATTCAATGCTATATCGGGTAAATTTTTACCATTTGTATACACATACAAACACACACTCCCACATTAATATGTGTAAATCAACAATAAAAAAATCACACAGTGTAGTCTTCGCCGATGTAGCATAGAAATAACTGTCAGTTCAAATACTTCAATTAAAACATAGTATGTCTAGAATATTATCATTATGCCTCCTTTAAAATATAAGTTAAGGCAATGTAGATAGGTTACATGAATGTGCAAAAGTGTTGTAAAACAATAAAAACTTGGATAAATTAAAAATTATAATAGACTCCCTCCGTTTCTAAATATTTGTTACTTTGACAACGTTTGTGTTCCATATTTCTGTCATTTCACAATTTCAAAATCAAACCCATTACCTTGGCTTTGCTAAAATTGTAGGACATGCGGTATCAGTTGTCATAAAACCAATTAAAATATAGAAAATACGCATACAACCAATTAAAATATAGAAAATATGCATACTCTAACCGCATCCAACACACACGGCAGCCCCATAGGCCATAGGTGATAGTTAAATTGAACTTTGATGCATTGTTTCCTCATGAGAAAGATCACTACTTGGAATCTATCACATCACTAGTCATAATTTTCAACCGGCCGATCAGATCCGAGTTTCAAAACACCGGTAAATAATATATAATCACCAAAGAAAACACTAGAAAGCTACAAAATTTATTAAAGTTACTCTAAGATCAAAGGCTGACTCAAGACAACAAATTTACATTACAAGACCTAAAAAAAAAAAAAAAAAAAAAATAAACATATGCATTATTAATCCTTAAGTTTGGAATTGGAGTAATAAATCTTGAAAGCCTTGGGCATATAAAAAGGCAACAAAAACCCAAACAAATTAAAGCTCCAAAACGCCATGTTCGCAATAGCAAGGCCTCTCCCAACCATCAACCTCCTCGCACTCCTCCCAAACCCTACTTCCACCTTCGATATCTCACTCCTCAGCCACTCCAATATCGTCAGAACCCGCATCGAGTTGTAGAAAACCGGCACCAGTACCCGAACCGGCAAAGAGAACCGGCCCGATTGCGTCAGCCCCTCCAGGAACACCTGGCTTGCCAGGAGGAACACGTGCGGCACGGCGGCCTTGATCCCCTCTTTATCCCCTTCGAATATTCCTTGGAATATGTACGCTATCGGGAGGAACAACCCGATTACGGACCCGAAGAAGACGTAAACGGGTAGGATCCTGTTCTTGTCGCCGAAAACCACGGGTGGCGGAGGGTCGTCGGAGCGGGGGGAGGTTGGCGGGAATGCGACTCTTGAGATGAAGTAGATGTAGAACACGGAGAAGACGACGAAGACGAAGTTCTCCGGGCTGATCATGCCGCTGGCGGAGAGCACGACGGCCACCGCGAGAGCGTTCAGCTGCCGGAATGTGAAGAAACTCCGGCGGGATGGGGATTTGGTCTTCACGGCGGCGCTGGAGAAGGCGTCCGGCTCGTGGGGCTCCTCTTTGGGGAGAGATATGTCGCATGGTGGACCAACTCCGCCTGACATGTTTGTTTTCTTGATTGTGTGTGTGTGTGTGTGTGTGAAAGTGAAATAAAGATTGGAGTGATAGTTTGGGTTGGAAGAAGGGATTAATGGGGGAGGAGGGTTTTCAGGGAGAGAAGTTTAAGGTGGTCGGAAGTTAAAGGTACACGTGGCAGTTGCTGAGTAAGTGGTGGGTGTATGCGTGTCTCTTCTCAACGACGTCTTCTAATCTAATCGGTTTTCTCAGATATGTTTGTGGAATTTATATAATCTTTCAGAAATTACCATCTCATTATTTTTTTTTAATGTATTTTACGTCTACTGTGATATCAAGTATTTGCCGGGAATATATATATTCAATTAAAATCAAGATTATATACATTAAATTTTAATTATAAGTTGTTTCCATAATGCTTCCAAAATATTTCAGAAATTACAAAATGGCATATAAGACATCCAACAAGTGTCTTCGAATGTCGAGATATAAAAAGCTTTCGAAATGCAGATACGTTAACAAGTTGAAGTTTCATTATAATGACTAATTATATTGCTAAAACAATATAGGTTTTCCACCATAAATCTAGATAAATAACAATTCACTAAACTCACACACATGTGGGTGTGTGTGTTTTGATGTGTCTATCAATAATGCAAAATCACTCGGTGTAGCACCTACTAAACCAGATAATGATAATCGAGGGAAGAAACCAAGTAATAACCGAGAAACAAGAGTCTTGACAGTATTCATTCTGTAACAATTTTTATCCCTGTTTCGATTCATATTTGTTCCTCAGTAAGACCCAATTTATTTATTACAAGGATATATATATATATATATATATATATAGCAGAAAATAACAACCCACTTTCTTCCGACTGCTGTAACTCTTACCTAGGCACACAAGCCAAAAGGATACACCGGTACCGTAAAATCCGTACCACCCCTAAAAAATAAGTATCAATAACCTCAATTTTCGGACAGAAGACCACTTGGTAAAACTGGAACCTCTTCTCGGAGAGCAATGGTGGTGGCTAAACCTACATAAAAATTAAAAATAAACTCTAAGCCCTTTCCATATTTCCTAATCTTTTATCCTATAGTTCGTTGTGAGCTAAAATACTCCGCACCGCCGGTTCTCTTATCATGCGGTAGAGGCCACTGCGTTGTCGTGCTGAACATTGGGAGTTTCACAAACTGATGAATACACTAACTTCACATGATCCCCAGATATAGCTTCCTTCCACCCTACACAATTTCACACACAAAAAAATAAAAAAATAAATAAAAAATCCATAATTGCAATTGTGAATAATGTAATATAATAGTAGATAAGGCGAAAACGGAGTAAAATCGACGTACTCCGAATAAGAAATTCTTTTGCAGCGGCACTGTTGAACCGCAAATGTCCTTGCACGTCATTTCCGTAATGCTTCTTATTAGCACAACAAGCCTTGCAGGTGGATATAATTTGGTTACTAACCTTTTCCAAAAGTACAGCGTCCTCAGAATCTCCATCACCCCTTTTAGCTGGAGAGATACCCTTTGGTTCATCACCATGGCTAACAGAATCGGCTTTAACGAGCTTTCCCGAAGCATTCTGTTTAAGCATTTCAGCCTCTTTACTACTACAAGTATTTGGAGAATCATTCAAGTAACGCTTTTTCTGCTGAGCCGAACAACTTCTTATGCGATGGGAATAGAACCTATTACAACCTGGTAGTTAGTTTCTTCCATAAAAAACGGGGGTTTCAAACTCTTCTCATCACCCTCCGTTTTATGTTTCTCTGTCAAGACTTTGTTCCCAGTCAGGTCACTGGAGACGCCGACTATTTCTACACTATTAGGTTCTAAAATTTGAAGATTTCGGCATTCATGGAAGCCATTGTCGGCGACCCTTTGTGAATTTGAGACCTCCTGCCAGTTATTGGTGGTTAAATGTTGAGAGTCATTTTCAGACACGATCTGCGGTTCGATGTTATGAGTGTGTCCTTGGTTAATAAATTCGCTGGTGGAATCAATCTGTGCTTCTAGATCTTTCTCCGATTCTTCGATTTGCAACTGCATGGTTTCTAGGCCTGGATCAAGATTTGTGGCCATGTCTTCGGAATTTGAACAGGAATCGGACGGGGATGAAAGCCCATATGCTTCGGTGGAAACTGGCCCATCTGCTGCAGAAAGTGCAATGACAACATTTAAATCTCCTTTGCACCCGTGAATTTCTTCCTTCATTTTTTGTTCCTTGCGACGGAGCTTTTTCTGTTTTTTCCTCTCCAAAAGCTCCGCTTGCCTAATAAAATTTGAAAATGGGATAATCAGAAAACAGAATCTTTGATTCCTACCATTGTATCTCATGTCTCGCCATAATCTATCAGCAATTATAAAATAAAACCTGGTGTAAACTTTCATCCACAAGATTTTGAAGAATTCTACTTAATCACATAAGCATTTCTAACTGGCAATAAGTTTACTTTATCATTTTATAGCCTTCATTTTTTTTATCACATGCATATATAAACTAATATCAGTCGAAGGTATGCTGCTTTGGCGACGGCTTTACTATGTATTATCTGTCTCCTTATGCAAGAGAGGCCAAGGGCTCGCAAAGGTCCGACCTCTTTATGCAGATACATATGTTAACCGAGTGAAAGTCTCAACCACCAAGACTATAATTTACTATGCTTAAAGACAACTGTCTTCTCATGTAAATTTCTAAGTTATATATGTATTTCAAGAAAGAAAAAAAAATGGATACTCTAATATTTCTCTGGTCTAGAAATTTATGCAAGAACATCCTCATTCATACCCTGATACCAGATACTGACCGCTACTGTGGACCACTGAAGAAATAGAAAATAAATAATATAAATAAAACAACATTCAACCAAAGATATATAGGTCGGCAGACGGTAAGTACCTAACATTTTAAAGTGCTGTCTGAAATGATGGCAAGACCCAAAAGGAAAGAGTAGCATCATAATGAAGGTTGTTTCAAAATAATGAACTACCTTAAAAATGGCTTTTACACATTCATCTCCACATAATGTATCAACAGATGGAACCTACCTTTTCTGTGCAGCTTCTTCCTCCTCCACGAGCAACTTCTGACATCTCAAAGCCTCTGCATCTTGTTCAGCAAGCCATGCTTTCACCTGGTCATAAAGCGTAGAGGCTTCAATGAAGCATATAAAGATAAGTAACTCCACGATGACAACTGAGTCAACTTGAGAAAATAAGCCTGAAGTGAAACCCAAAATATCTGGGGTTGTGATAATAAAGGTCGAAAAATAGGAAAAACATTGTTCTAAACCAGAGAACTCAGACTCGAAAAAAAATGCGTGCACTTGGGATCAACACTAGATACGTCATTTCAGTTCAAATAAGTAGGTACCAGGCATTAATAAGAATTGAAGTGGCAAGTAAAGAGGGATAACACTGGGATTACCAATTTCTGTTCAAAGAGGAAGCTAGTGCAAGCAACCAAGTTCTTCAATTCAAGGTTATTTTTGGCAGCTTCTCCAGCAAAAAGGTATTTCTGCACAGACTCGGCTGTGCCGGCACATAAGAATGTTCTCTCACTTGCATCATCAAGGATATTAAATAATTCCTCCGAGGATGGCAGTCTGGATGGGTTGCCTTGGATTATGTCCTGTAAACAATAGAAGATTCATGAAGAGCTAAATGGAAAGGAGATAATGCTGAATATGAGGGATAAAATCACATGATGCACCATGGCAGAATTATATATGTGAGATGCATCCTTACCAATAATGTAGAGCCAGCCTTCACGTAAAACTGTGGAAGAGCCCACACCCCAGGTTGGTGGAGAAAAGATGTTAGGGCCACTATTACTGATGTACCAGGAATTTCCTAAAGAGCATAGAATGCAAGGAAAGAGTATCTTAACCCATCCATATTACTCCACGTACAAGTTATTTAAGAAGGAACAGAGATACCACGTTTTACTACTAGCTCAATCACAATAATATAACCATCACTAAGTTGCAACTCCAAATCCACAGAAATAAAGTTTGATGTCAGAAGAAAAGAGATCAAAATAAAATCCTTTAATGACCTACGCATGGACAACTTTCTACAAGAGATAGCGCCCGAGTTATGAGTAAAGAATCCGAATATGACCCTTCCAGAATATGTAAGAGAACAACCACTACTTACTTCGGAACTTTCTAAGAACCTGAAACTTTATGTTGAAAACTAAAATCAAACTCGAGCTTCATAGATATCAAGATAGTTATCATGAAGTTGGACGCCAAAATGAACTGCATACCTGTGGTTTGCAAGGCTAGTACCAATTTCTTGGAGTATTACATATTTTATTGTGTTCGTTGAACATGAAACCATATAAATTACTTGAACAGAGTATTAGGCTAATATCCTTACCAAATTGTCAGAGACACGCTCTTAAAAGAAGGGAAGCATGTTATGTTCAATAAGCAATTCTGATTATATCGATATAAAAGGGAGGATTCAGGTGACAACCTTTAGTGATACGTCGCCAAACGACACTACTTCCATTGCTTCCTCAAGTGACAGCTGCACACCACACCGTAATGATATCCATAAATATAGGGTAGAGAACAGAGAAATTTAATACGGAAAAGAAACTTCATTACCTTATCCCAAAATGCAGCCAATAAACCTCTATGTTTGTCAGATTCCTGCACAATGTTCCTAAAAACATTAGAAATACTGGAGAAAACTAACAATGTTGCTGCTAGGATTGCCTTGCAGATACTAGTAGTTGATAAAAATACATAATCGAGGAAAGTTCAAAGCACTCCATGATTCAGAAAGGGACTCATCAATTTTCAAGTGCCCCTATGAAGCAGTGGACAACTAGGACAACCTTATTAACGTTCAAAGAACGGCGGTGCACTCGAATGTGTCTCCTGTAGTTAATGGATGAACAAAATTCCCGAGAACACTTCTCGCACTTCTGCATCTGCACTTTTACAGGAGTCATCAAGGGCCAACCAGCGAGATCTACAAGATAAAAAAAGGCAGTATTAACCTGTTAGTGGGAATAACCACGCTGCTGACAAACTGCACAAAAAAAAAAATTGCCCCTAAAAAGGCAACAATTTTCTTTTCCGGCAGTGATCATTGAATCTCGGAAGGAAACCGAACTGTTGAAAGTAGATACGGACATAAAACTATACGTGATGTGATAATTAGTCATTATTCGTGTACATTCGACAACTTCAAATATTTACGCACCTGGCTGATCTAAGGCATGAAGCAACTGAAACCACTGCACGGGATTATCTCCTGTTCTTGAAAAGGGGAGAAGAGGATCCTTAACAATAGCTTGTCTAATGACAGTGTCAAGGGAATCATTTTCTTCTTCTGATTTAATTGCATTCAGAGTTCCACTTGTGTAGAGCTTTGGAACAGGCATCCAGGCTTCAACTAAAACTAGATACAGTGACAATGCATAAAAAGTCTAAATGTTAAAACAACGACCATATAGGATGAAAAATGAGAAAACGAAGAAAATAAAATAGAGATTATATGAAATCTGCATTCGATTAACTGAATAACTTAAAAACAGAGACAAGTACATGCGCATTCGATTGAATTGAAACTTGAAAGCAACTACTTGAAATGAATGAACACCAAAAAGGAGACAAAACTTTGGAATTACTAAATTTAGAAATTTAGATAAGCGCTGAATAACTATACTTCGTATTCAGAAAATGAATCATCATCGTGCTAACATATGCATGTATAACCTATCTAATTCTTAACAATCTGAAAAGTAATAGAGTGCCAATGGTCAATCTCCATTATAAGGCAATTTAATTTCACAATCAAGATTGCACGTTACTTAACCATCATTAGTTTCCTAATTATCGAAGAATAGTTAAGTTTCGGCCAAATAGCTGACCGATCACACATAGAAACAGTGAAATTATCCTAATCTCAACTTACAGACTGACTTCAACAGAAAACAATCAGCTGATACGTATGCCGTGATTCCAAATAATTGGTATATTGATAAAGCATAAGCAATAAAACCAAATGTAAAAATTCTGCCACTGCAACAAAATAGATATTAATATAGACATACAGTGAGATAAAAAGGTAGGAATAAAACAACAGAAAAAACTCTCGTATCAAAACAAAACAAATATTGCTACAAATACACACCTAAATACTGCGGAGTTTTCGATGCATCACACCGAACTCTTAATTTTGCATTAAAATTAGCCAACAATACATTCATTGCATACATGCAGTGAATCTAATTAAATAAATGACTCAAGCTAACAAACAATCAGCCAATATAACTCATGAAATAAGTGAATCAGCACAACATTTCTTTCTCTAATTCAAATTATTGCCATTTTTTAATGGAAAAAAAAGGCCTAATAAATAAGAATCAAGCACATAAATACGAATCACCAGTCATAAATTCATCACTGAAGTGACTAAACAAAATTCGTAAAAAAAAAATTACAAATAATAAATAAAAACTAGTGTCGGGGGTTTGAGGTCACGTGATCTGTGATCTCCACGTGACCTAAAGTTCAGAAGAGTGAAAAAGGCTCACATACCAGTGGTGGGAGAGATCGGCGGCGATCGGCGGCGATAAAGACGGTGCCCTAAGCAATTGAAAAAACAGATTAAAAAAAAATGTATTTTTGTTGAATGTATAGTTATGAAGAAACAAAAATGGTATGTAGAGAGAGAGAAAAGTCGGCGAAATGTTTTAGAAAGAGAAAGGGCGTGCTGGGAATCGCTAAAGACGATAGTGAGTCTGTGAGTGATGAAAATGAGATGGGCATTATATTATTATATATATTAAAAATAAAATAAAAAAATAAATATAAAATATAAATAAAATAAAATATTTATTCCTTTTCAGAGGTGTAAAGTGAAATGCTTTACGATATTCCTTTTCTACCCCAACTATTATTCCATTTTCAATAATTATTATATTATACATATACATATGTACTTTTTTTTCTTATTCAAATTAGTAACAAGAATTTGGTGTGAAATAAATAAACTCAAACATGGAAATTTCGATTTATTTATATTTAAAAAGTATATATTACAAAAAAGAAACTAGGAGAATTTTAAGATGCAAGCATTTTGACTTTAGAATATTTGAATCGAATTTAAGAACAGTCGAATATTGATTCGATAAATTATGATGCTGGTATCCGAATTTTGAATTAATAAAAGCTTTACTTATTGCATTATTCATTTCTTCTAGATTGTTCTTATTTTCTTCACCTTGCACCCCCTCCAAAATCAAAAGGAAAATATGATATTGTTTGAGGCTTTACATTGCAAATAATAAATTTTGTTGGTATGGTGAAAAAATAAATAAAAGTTTAAGGTGAAAAGTTTTTTTTTTGTCCTAAAAATAATTATTCCAATCAAAAAGTTAAAAACTCTAATTTTTTTGCTTCACATTCGTCGGTATAGTATAAACCGGTTATTCCAATTGCCGGCGTAGTACAAATCAAGTGTCATTAGTAAGATTTTGGGTAAATTATAATCGTCCCCTGAAGTAAGGTCTATTAATGAAAAAGCTCCTCATATTTTCATAATTACATTCACTCTTTGTAATTTGTAGATGTTATACATTAACACCCTTTTATTGGGGTAGGTGTAAGAAATTTATAAACTACAGGGTCTTTGATGTAGTTTCTAAAACATAAGAGGTTCTTTTGTAATTGAACTACACCTCATGGGGGTTGGTTGTAATTTACCCCAAGATTTTCTTAGTAGACACGTGCGATTTAAATCTCTTGCTTCACATTCGCCGGCGCAGTATAAACCGGCGGCTTCATCTTCATCTGAATTTTGGCGCTTAATTCGACCATAAATTCTCACGAAAATGGAAGCAAAGTGGGAAAGCAACGAAACAGGAAGCAGCAATTCGAGAAAGACGATGACGTCACCTTGTGACGTCGATGCCCTAAGGAAGTGTTTGGCTGAAAACAAAGGAGATCGGCGTAAATGCCAATCGCATATCGAAGCTTTCAAAAACTCATGCTCCATTAACAAGTCCTCCGATTCACCTCCGAAGATCCAATCTTGATTATGTGGTTTTGCAGGCAAATTGTTTGATTACTTTCAGTAATTCACTTGATTTGAAACCTATTGTTCATTTTGGATAATAATTAGTAATTACGATTGGGAATTCATATTTCATAGTTCATACTTTATTTGAAGTGATTTCAAAATTCAAATATTTAGCCCTAGAAATGGAGCAGTTTGATTGAGCTGTAAAATTAGCATTTTTTTCAGTATATAATATGAAATCTGTTGTGTTTATTATATCCCTCGTCGCCTTTATATTTTTTTCGAGTATAGTATGAACCTTTTTTTTGTTCTTGTTCGTGGCTCAACCGAGAATTCAAATAAGTCGATTTCTAAAGGTTCACTCGATAGCTATTCCGCAGGAAAACGGTGTATGGAGGAAATGCATTTGCACGGCAGTCAAGACAAGGTAGCCCATTGGTAAGCACCTGTTTATCATGCAAAGCAAGAAGCCTGCACGAACTCTCATTGTTTCAAGTAAGTTTCATATTCGAATACTTATCGGACTTAGTTTTTAACTCGTTGTAGCATCACAACTTAATTTACCTTTCGGGAATGAATCAACCGATGAAAGAAGTATTGAATAATATGAAATAAGATATTTAAGTACTTGGGAGTGGTGGAGATCCACCAAAGAACAGATAAGAAACAATGTAATGATAACTTAGCAGAAAAGAGAAGACAATGCTAATGATTTTCAAGACATCGATTAGATGCTCTGGGTTCGATCCCACGACGGGATATAAATTAATTAAATGTTTTTGTCCAAAGGAAACAATAATGAAACCCTTATGTTTGATTATTATCACAAGAATAGCTGGAGCAAAGAAAGGTGTTCCTTGTCTTAATCCGACTCTCTGTCATTGCCCCCACGGAATGAAAGCTGTTTTACTAAGCTAAGAGACTAATATTTTACATTACATAACATCGCCCGTTGGCATTTAAAAAATCGGGGGTCAAAGCTTGAATCTGAAGATTCGAAGCTCAAGTACCTATGCATAAGAGGTTTGACGAAGCATTAAACTACCAGCAAGGCTTCCGTCTTTCCTGCTTGCTGTCCCCTCCCACCTTGTCTTATTTACTAATTTCCGTCGGCGTTGACCTTAGCCTCATATATATAACTATCTTTTAAAAGCCAAGTTGCTTAGTCAAACCATTAGATTATTGATTCATTTCTCTTGTATTGACTGAATATGCATGTAAATCATGCCTTGTGCGTTTAACGGAAGATTCTTTTTTTATTAGAAGCTCGTTTCTTGGAATATTGATCGGCAAGCAACGTTGATGACTTGTCTAAAAGTTATTTATTCAATTTATGTTGTCCCAGTGGTTAATATTAAATGGTGATAGTTGTTGATCTAGCCTTCTATTTAAAGGTTACAGCTACAACCAAATGAGCAGAGGACTAACTTAGCTTCTCACGTTTCTACATTATGTCGGTAGAACTTCCCGTTTTTGACATTTCGCAGCCCTTCGACTCGTCTTCTCTCTCCTCTCTTTCTGTAGCCTGCAGAGAATGGGGCTTTTTTCACATAACCAATCACGCAGTTTCCAAAGAGTTAATCGAGAAACTGCGTTCTCTCTCTACCCAGATTTTTGACCTACCTTCGGAAGTGAAGGACAAAGCCGGCCCTTTATCTTCCGTCAAAACGTACACCCCGCATTTCATCGCCTCTCCTTTCTACGAGAGTCTACGGGTTTCCGGGCCCCACTTCTCTGATTCTGCAGAGAGTTCTTCCCAGGCCTTCTTGAATCAGTCAAACCGTGAATTCAGGTAATTTTTTTCGTTTTTCAGTTGTCATAATGTATTTGGGTATGGTTAATAATTTTGTCCCGACTTTATGAACTCGAAACTGATAAAATTTGTACTGAACCGACACTTGAAACATCTGAATAGTGTTCTGCTCATACACTAGTTAAACTCCAACTATTACCATGCACTGAATTTTTATTTTTATTTTTTTATTTTTTTCTATCCCGTCTCGTGTTTATTTGTATTTTGTATCTTCGTGTTTCATTTGTCAGTGAGATATTAGAGGAGTACGGAAGAAAAATGACAGACTTATCGAAGATAATCGTCGAAATGGTAATCAAGTCCATGGGGATTGATTTTGAGACGAAGTACCTATCAGAATTCAAGAATTCTCATGGCTATTTGAGAATAAACAACTACTCCTCACCAGAGTGCAACGACGACGAAGAAGAAGAAACCGAAGGACTAGGAATGCACACAGATATGAGCTGCATAACCATAGTCTATCAAGATGAAATCGGTGGGCTCCAAGTGAGGTCTAAAGAAGGGCAGTGGATGGATATAAATCCACACGAAAACACGCTCGTCGTCAACATCGGTGACTTAATGCAGGCGTGGAGTAACGGAATTTTCCGGTCATCGGAGCACAGAGTGGTCCTTAGGAAAAACACGAACCGATTCTCCGTTGCTTTTTTCTGGTGCTTTGAAAACGAAAAGGTTATATTTGCTCCCGAGGAAGTCGTGGGAGAGGGGAATTTGAGGCTGTATAAGCCCTTTGTTTGTGCAGATTATGTCAAGTTTAGAGAGAATAGTGAGAGAGGGAAGTTTGAGAAAGTTGGCTTTACTGTTAAGCATTTTGCAGGGACTGAAATGCAATTGTAATTTTTTTTTTTCTATTTTTTAAACTTTATTATTTGACCCTCATTGTAAACCTTGTGGTATAAAATTTATTTTCTTGATAAATTCTTGAGGTTAGTATAACAATATAAATACAAGAGCTCTACAAGATATAAGTTGATTGTATTCTTCCAACCAAAAAGAAAAAAAAAGAGAGAAAAAAAAAGATAGAAAAAAAAAGGAGATTAATACGCGTCTGTCACCTTAGAGCTATAAGTATTAGCAAGCATTGCAACTCTTCCTACACGTGCCGTAGTAGTCGGGAGAGCCAATCATAAAAACGGAATTTCGTTGACACTCGCCGATGGCAGCCCATCGGGAACAGCTCTCATCTTCATCCGTGCAATCACCACCGTCGGATCGTGATTGCCCCTCCTTTTCGACGCCAATAGTAATTTCTTTGAGATAAAAGAATTTGGTGGCAAACCATATATCTCCCTGCAGGACAGGGCATCTAGCGTGTACGCTACTTGTATCTGGAGTTGCGTTAAGGTGTAGATTGAAGAACACGACAGCATTTCCTTTACTAGGTTTCAAGATATTGCTGCTCTTTGTACAATCAGACCACATAGTTTTCTGCAAATACGTTTGCACATTATGTTGTCACGTTTCAAGTAAGACCAAATCACAGTATGAAGATTTAGTTTATCTCTCTCTCTATTTCTTACCTTCGATTGGGGGAAAATTATTTGGCCACCTTGGCTGACATTTGAGAGATACAATATCACGGTTGCCAATAAAGGTTGACCAACTTCCTCTGCAGATTCATTGTGAAAATAATTGTAGTTCTGTTTCGGGTTTTCGGGCCCAAAGTGCAGAACCTGCAAAGATTTGCTGTTCTCTGCCAATTAAAAAAAAAACATCATTATACGACGTCTAAAAGGCGGAGACGTAAATTACTACTAGAGAAGCAAAGAGTTGTATGGATATTAGTGTTTATATATATATATATATATATATATATATATATATATATATATACCTTTGGGAAGAAAAGTCCATGCGGAGATTCTTTCCTCAATCCTTGTAGCGATTTCATCCTGTTGTAGAGCATGCATATAATCATTTGGAATAACAAGAACAAAGCTCGATATTAGGAAAATTTTGAGACCAAATAGGTAAAAACGAGAGGAATCAAATGAATCCAATAAACTTTATGCAACCAACACAAGAATAGTTGCCACGAGTATCATTTCGCTCCATCAGTTGTTACATGTATAATTCAGGTGATAAACAATGTTTTGTCAAATATTCCACATCAGCACCCACAGAAGTACCAAAAAATTAACAAGTACCTTGTTCGCGTCAATCTTTGTGGAATCATCGACCCCCACAGTATAACTTCTCTCCCCATTGACCTAAACCGAAAACATAGTTTCATACAAGTCAAAGGACAAGTGCATGGTAATTATATATATAAGTTGTACCCGAGAAATCAGATAATCACACTCCTCCTCATATAGAAAGTCTCGATACAAGAACACCCTGTGCCCACAAGATAATGTCATTATGACCATTGTAATCTCAGCATAATGTAACGGCAAAAGTATATATATTGTGTGTGTATATATATATACATATAAACAAGTTATAGGTTGTTTAGATTACCTGACCTTGGTTGCCACGAGATTTGAGTGACTCGTGATGGATCAATACTTTTAGACTGCACTTGATTACCCAATCGAATAATTTGGTCTTGGTTCGTCTCTTTTGTTCTCAATTCCTTTCGACTACTGAAAATAACAGAACTGCATTTAAAAATCACTACCTTGAAAAGCTTACTTTATAGTTCGTTCTAAGTAGCAGCTTAAGCCGAGTATATAATATCCATACATCACCCATCCAAATCATCCATTTTGCAACAATGCTATATCTAATTATCTACTATTTCATCTCGCAATAACTGAAACAATTCAAACCGACTGCGAATACAAATTCACCACAAATACGTAGTGTATATATATATATATATATATATATATATATATATATATATATATATATATATATATATATATATATATATATATATATATATATATGCACGATTTATCTCGATCACTGGTTGAGCAATACTAGTAGGACCAGCCAAATCAGATAAACACTCAAAAAGCAATCGAATTTGGTACTGTTATGGATCCCTAATAAAATAGCATTCTTTAAAATAAATATAATCATAAATCATGAAATGCATCATCAAATATTTCTTAGTTACAAATATATGGTACTAAATTATATGAAAAGGTGGGCGGTACGAGCAATTTAAGAGTTGAATAAATGAAGAGCTTGAGAAAAAAGAAACTTGAGATAACGCTTGGATCTATGATGATTTAATGGCGAGTAAAAGATAAAATGAAGTGAAAAACGATGATTTTAGGGTTTCCTTACTTCTGAGCGAAAGAAATACCAAAAGTAATTGCCAGCAAAAGCATGCCGAGAATTGTGAGATGCGTCGCCATTGATTGATGATGCGAAGCAAAGCTGTGGCTGAATTGTGGACTGGAATTGAATTTCTGATTTTAATTAGTCGATTTCTGTAATTTCGAATTCATTTCTTTTATTCATTTTTTTTAAATTTAATCAAAGTTTTTTTTTTTTATCAAAATTGGAATCATATGTAATGTTCTGATTTTCGATCAGATTTAAATTCCAAAAATACTTTTGGAATTTTCAAATAATTTATTTTTTTCGAGAATTGCATTTGTAAAATCAATATTATTATTTATTTCATATTACAGGTGGGAGGGACGAATAACTTTTTCATGTCTGAATTTATTCGATTTTATTTTTTTTTCTTTTTTTGGAACAAGTTATTCATTCCGATTATTTGTAGGGGAAACTACAGATAAATCCCTAATCCAAAACTCAAAACACAGATCAGTCCCTAGGTAGTTTCCCCAAGCAATTCAGTCCCTACTCACGCGCCTAACATGCAGATCGGTCCCTAATAAAATGTGCAAATACTAAAATACCCTTTACTTTATATTAATTTTACATAACTTCTTTTCAACTTCCAACGCGCCGTTTGTATTACACGCTCTTTGCCAGTTTATACCCATTTTCAGACCAAGAAGAAACAGAGAAGAAACGAAGAACAAAGAAACGAAGAACAAAGAAACAACAAAGAACGAAGAAATTACGAAGCACGAAGAATCAACAAAACGCAGAAAAATAATAAAGCGAAAGGAAAAATAAAAATAAACAAACCCATTTATAGACAATGGTGAAGCATGGTAAACAACAAGGTTTGATTTTTTTTTTTTTTTTTCATTTTATTGGAAACAGACCCATTTGGGTGTTGCTTGAGCTTGCAAAAGGTTAATTTGTTATAGAATTGCATGATTTTGAACATATCCACTCATGGGTATTATGCCTCGACTTTATTCGGTGTTTCCCCTAATCATTAAATCGGTTCCAATATCTGTTGTTCTGTTGTTTGGGTTTGCAAAGATCATTTATTTGTTGTCGAATTTCATGATTTTGTAATAGTTTTCTCTTGGGTATTATTCTTATGATATGGGAAAGAGGCTTATTGTATTTTTCGTACTGGTTCTATAGTATGTGTCATGCGCAGTAATGGTATTAATAGTGCATTTAGATGGTATTGACACAGGGTACTTGAAGTATAATGTTTGGTGGTTCTGTAGTATAAGTCATATGCCACAATAGTATTGCTAGTGCTGTTGAGTGATATTGCTAGTGCATTCGAATAGTATAATGTTTGATTGTAGTGTAGTATGTGTCATATGCAACAATGGTATTGCTAGTGCATTTGGATGGTATTGAACGAAATTACTGGAAGTACTAGTAGTTGAACTTTATAGTACGTTGTATTTGTTATAATTGTAGTTTTATGTGTATGTAATTGCAGGAATTGATGTAAAAGAAGATTGCAGTAAGCTATCAATAGGCTGCAAGTGCTCACCGATCGCTTTTCAAATAGATGAATGTGTTTTTTGTGCCATAAACAATCTGTCCTTTTGTTGTAGAGCTAATAATACTATTGATTAGCTCTACTCGTACTTTTCCATTGTATACATTGTACTACATGTTTCGATGAAATGTACTTACCTTTTGAACACATGGTACTTTATTTTGCGATTAATTAGTTTGTATAAAGAATATAAGCGTACCATAAAAATGAGCAACAAATACTTTCTAGTCTATTCGAAGATACTTTGTCAACACTAGACTTGTACTTACTTGATGAACAAAGCGTACTTCACATGTGTATTCACGAAAAACTTACCATAATCGATGTTGATCGACTCCCACATTGTTCCTATTCATTCTTAATAGTCTTAAACTGAAGAGTTGTGTCTTAAAATGCGATCATATGGATGCATTGGCCCAACAATAATATATAGAGTGTAACAATACTATATGAATGGCAAACATATACTTTATCAGTGAACAAAGCGTACTATAGTCACGAATCACTTGTACTTCACATGTGTATTCATTGTACTTACTTGATGAACAAAGCGTACCATATTTTTTGATGAATTGAATTGTACCAATTTCATTGACGCTTTAATGATCAATAAGTACGGGAGATGCATAAATTATGTTTTAGATGATTATTTTAAGGTAGGTGAGCATTATTGTTGCGTTTGGAATACAAGATCCCATAAATATGTTGAATTTCATACATGATACTCATATACTATACAATATATTCATACAAGTCTATAATGCTCAAGTATAAAACTAATATTTTCCTCAATTGTTACCATAATCGATATTGATCAACTCCCACACTGTCTCCATTCATTCTTAATAGTCTTAAACTGAAGAGTTGTGTCTTAAAATGCGATCATATGGATGCATTGGCCCGGAAATAATATATAGAGTGTAACAATACTATATGAATGACAAACATATACTTTATCAGTGAACAAAGCGTACTATAGTCACGAATCACTTGTACTTCACATGTGCATTCATTGTACTTACTTGATGAACAAAGCGTACCATATTTTTTGATGAATTGAATTGTACCAATTTCATTGACGCTTTAATGATCAATAAGTACGGGAGATGCATAAATTATGTTTTAGATGATTATTTTAAGGTAGGTGAGCATTATTGTTGCGTTTGGAATACAAGATCCCATAAATATGTTGAATTTCATACATGATACTCATATACTATACAATATATTCATACAAGTCTATAATGCTCAAGTATAAAACTAATATTTTCCTCAATTGTTACCATAATCGATATTGATCAACTCCCACACTGTCTCCATTCATTCTTAATAGTCTTAAACTGAAGAGTTGTGTCTTAAAATGCGATCATATGGATGCATTGGCCCGGAAATAATATATAGAGTGTAACAATACTATATGAATGACAAACATATACTTTATCAGTGAACAAAGCGTACTATAGTCACGAATCACTTGTACTTCACATGTGCATTCATTGTACTTACTTGATGAACAAAGCGTACCATATTTTTTGATGAATTGAATTGTACCAATTTCATTGACGCTTTAATGATCAATAAGTACGGGAGATGCATAAATTATGTTTTAGATGATTATTTTAAGGTAGGTGAGCATTATTGTTGCGTTTGGAATACAAGATCCCATAAATATGTTGAATTTCATACATGATACTCATATACTATACAATATATTCATACAAGCCTACAATGCTCAAGTGTAAAACTAATATTTTCCTCAATTGTTACCATAATCGATATTGATCAACTCCCACATTGTCTCCATTCATTCTTAATAGTCTTAAACTGAAGAGTTGTGTCTTCAAATGCGATCATATGGATGCATTGGCCCGACAATAATATATAGAGTGTAACAATACTATATGAATGACAAACATATACTTTATCAGTGAACAAAGCGTACTATAGTCACGAATCACTTGTACTTCACATGTGTACAAAGTGTACTATATTCACGAATAACCCTAACTTTACCAGCTTATACATTGTACTCTTATGTTCACTAATTAAACAACAGTACATAGGTTTTACATAGCATGTAGACTGCAAATATTACTAGATTCAACACTATCAAACTATGAACTACTCCACCTTCAGAATTGCAATTCGTCACTTCACTTTCTCGATGGACTTGGTTCATCGACGCACTTGTAGCTTCATTTTCTTCACGATTTGAGTTGGAAAAAGTTTGCCCAACTTCAAATGGTTCACACCAATGGGAGTAACCATGGTGTGGGCAACAGTAAAACCCGAACTGCACTTGTGAATGAATTCTTTTTGTCTTTCTACGTCCTGGTCGAGTTCTCAATCAGCTGCATTAACAAAGACATCGGGCGGAGCATTACACGCATCGTACAAGTCAAAGTCCTCATCAAACGAGGGAATTGGGTTAATCGTGAATTGATATACCTGCTTGTACGTATCCGAATAATGGTTACGTACTGTCTTCCCCATTATATTATACTATGTTTTCCCACGAACAGTACCAAATTTACCTATCACCCATACTATTCAGATGAAGGTTACGTACTATCTTCCCCATTATATGATACTATGTTTTCCCACCAACAGTACCAAATTTACCAATCACGCATACTATACGAACAACGATTACGTACTGTAAGTACCATACGTCCATACCATATTTATATTAGCATGATACTATTACGTGCCATATTTTATACTATGTATCACAATAATTAACGACCATAAAGAAATGCATTTCAGCAGTACAGAAAAATATGGAGACCTACCAGCCATCGGTGCGAACCCTCTTTCCACGCGAATTAGCTTCATCTTTGCGGATCACGACAATGTCGACCACACTCATCTTCATTATCAGATGCTTATATCGACAACTTCCAAGAATCACAGTGGGTACATCATTAGATACATCATTTGTAGCCATTGTGGGGTGGGTGGGTTTTACAATGATATTTTCTTTGGAAAAAGAGGAAACCAGAGGAGAGAAAGAGAGAAGAAATAGAGAAGAAAGAGAGCAGATAGAAATGAAGAAAGAGAAAAAAGAAAGAGAAGATGAAGAGAGAGAAAATGAAGAGAGAGAAAATGAGGAGAGAGAAAAGGGTGAGAGTGAAAAAGAAGAGAGAGAATATAATAAAATATATAAAATTCACATTAGGGACTGATCTGCATGTCAGACGCGTGAATAGGGACTGAATTGCTTAGGGAAACTACCTAGGGACTGATCTGTGTTTTGAGTTTTGGATTAGGGATTTATCTGTAGTTTCCCCTTATTTGTAAGTATTTATATCAAAAACTGGAATTAATATTCGCTTCAAAAGGAAATCGAAATATTATTTATGGTCTAATTCGTTTGATTTTCATCCCTGAACTAAAATGAGGTTAATTTGTACTCAGCTAAATCCTGCAATATTAAAATTTTGTAACTTGACTCGAAATTTGTTCATTGAGATGCTACACTCGGTGATTTTTAATCATTGAGGTTGTGAAATAATTTTCTATTAAGCACACATACACATGAATGTGTGTGATTATGTGCATACCAACGATTAATAATCAATATATTTCACTCGGTGTAGCATTAAATATAGAGTTAACTGCAAACAATCCCCTAAACTTTGGACGTTTTTGCGCTTTACCCCCTGAACGGAAAAAAGTTGCACGAGCATACCTGAACTTACTTATTTTTAGCACCGATTAAGAAATAGTCCATTTTTGGCTAATTTTGACCGGAATCAAAATCACGTGCGTTGCACGTGAATATAGCTGGGGTAAATTAGTATTTTCCCCTGTTCCCCTTTTCTATCTCCCGTTTATTCTAGAAAAAAGAAAAAAAAAAAGAAAAAAGAAAAAAGAAAAAAAGTGGCCACCCACCATCATCTTCTTCCTCTCTCCTCTTGCTGCCAAACAGAGGACGGGAGATTTTTACACCACCACCACATCTGCTCCGCCACCGCACGACCCACCTTGAAAAAAAAAACGCTACCCCAGACGTAAACAACTCTGACCTGCTTCGTAAATTAAATTTCACACTCAATTTCATGAATTTCTTCAGATTACAATGGAAAATACATTCATTCATATTACTAATTAATCCCACAAAAAAATTCTCCACATAAATAGTAACAACAGTAGATGATTAAATCAAAAGCTTCCTCCAAAATCTTATCAAGCCCTTCAAATCCTACTCAATAACAGGTCAGTTTTCTTCTCTTTTTTTTTTCGTTTTTTTTTCTCTGGGCACAAGCAAATCTGTATAATTTTCTGCAATATCTGACGGATTTTGATATTTGTGGTCTCAAAGAGGAAAACGAAGTGGATTTACAGTCAATTGCAGATTTGGAGCAAGCAACCTTAGTGGCGAAGCAAATCCCAACCACCGCGGACCCATCCAGCTCCACCAAATTCACACCGCCCTCCGTTCCGACTACCACCGTCTCTTTCTATTCCTCACCGGTGGACAACCTCCGCTGCCGCCGCCTTCCCAATCGCACGGCCTGAAAACTCAGTTTTGTCAGCCGTGGGCGGCGGCGGCGAGTTTGGTGAGAACGGTGAGGGCGAGCCCATACAGATGGGCGACGGAGAAGAGGATCAAAAATAGCTAATATTTGTTATAAATACTTCATCAATTCTTCTCAGAACATGTTTTTCAGGCGAGTGGATTGAATTTTGAAATTCCCACTCTTCGTCGGCAAAAGAGGAAGAGAGGAATTAAAAGACCGGTTGTGGTCACTTTTTTGTTTTTTCTTTTTTTTTTTTCTTTTTTTGTTTTTCTAAAAATATTGTGAATTGACAAAATTGCCCTGTGTTTTCACGTGCGAGTTGCACGTGTGCAATTCAGGCATAAATTTTGCTATAAATGGACTTTTTATTCATCGGTGCAACAATTTGGCAAGTTTAGGTATGCTCGTGCAACTTTTTTCCGTTCAGGTGGTAAAGCGCAAAAACGTTCAAAGTTTAGGGGATTTTTTGCAGTTAACCCTTAAATATAAATTGAAGGGTGTATTCTGCTGTTATTTTAATTTAAGGGTTCATTGTGCCAATGAAGTGTGATTTGAGGGTGCAAAATGCCAATTACCCATGAAGTTCAATAACAAGGATCAAAACTTCATCCATGAATCATTATATCATCTCAAACTTAAAAGCAAACTTTCTTTAATGGTAACTTTTACAATCAACATTCTATTCATGTATAAATCATAATGAACTCCTCAACAAATACAATTAACACAGATCACACAATCAATTGAACCCCCCCCCCCCCACCCCCCCAAAAAAAAAAACGGGACGTGCCTTCAATCAGAAAAAATAAGTTTCTTTAGACCCATATGACCAGAATCGCCCTTCTCAAAAAGACGATCGATAAGTACACCCCAACTTTCTTTACCCTTGCCTTTACCTGATGAGTCACCCTCGTTATCCTTTTCATCGAAGGTTCCGTATTGAGGAGGCGGAAATGCGTGTGGAACCGCTAAAGTAACTGCCCTTCGCAGAGCAGCAGTGTGCTCTTCTTCGTGCTCCTTAACTAACGTCTTCTGCCTCTCCATCTTCTGCTTTGCAGGAATTTTCAGCTCGTTGTCTTTCTCTTGCATCAACTGCATAATTAATTTTCAGACAAGAATAGGTATTAATTATTACGTTGCCGATGTACAAGGGTAAAATATTATCGAAAAAACTTACTTCCAAAGCCTTTTGAGCTTCTTTCTCTATCCAAAGAATGGCGTGATCTGAAGTCGCGTTACAAGACAGAACTATGTGCTCGAATCTTCCGTCCACCGGAACTGCTGTCCTCACTTCCGGAGGAAACCTTCCGCATCTATACATTCACAAACGGGGACTTCAATTTTCCGTTCATCAAACACACAAACTACTTACTGATATCGAGATTCATTTCATCGAGGCCCTTCCATTTCTTAATGCAATAAAAAAATCTTTTTGGCCGAAGAATTTTTTTTTTATCAAGATTCATAATGTCTGCCCTTTAAAAGAAACTATAAATCTATTACATATTTAACTTTGTTTAAAAGACGATTTTTCGAGCATTCTCGAAAGGGGGGTGAAAATTATATTTATCCACCTGAATGGTTTTCTCTCGACAATGTGATAAAGGCGACCGGGTGCATACAGCCTTCTTGAATCTTTAAGCATCCTCTCCTCTGATATGCATGTATCTCTCATGCACCTTAAGCATAATAGGCATGGCAAACTGTACAAGAAGTTAAAAATCAACACTATCTATTGTTATTAATATTTTTCTTTAATCGGAGATTTAAAAACGTGCCGAGTTCTTTACCAGAATAGTGATTTGAAGATGTCCTCCAAAGGAGTAGCTGTTCGAGGCAAGAAATCATCCTGCCACACGGTAAATAAGTTCCTTCTTTTAATCCGATAGTAACTATCGTATCACACAGCAATAATAACAATTAACAACATAGATACGCCATTGATCAATGTAAGAACACGGTAACATGCCTGAAGAACAACGGAATTTATGACGTCAGCGTACCGCACGGCCAAATTAAGCGACATACACCTAGCGGGCGCAATAGCGTAGCACCTGATCCTCCTCCTCTCGATATTCCCCAACCTATCTCGATTCCGCACCACCACAATAGTCATCAGCGCCGCCACACCCGATCCAAGTGAATGCCCCGTAAAAGTCAAAGTATAGCTCGGATACTTCTCCACCATTTCCTTCAAAGAATCGCACTCCGCATCCAAAATACACTCGGCGGCTCTCAAAAGCCCGTTATGAACGTACCCTCCATCGAATTTCATCTTCCCCAACTTATTATCCAATAAAACTGCATAATCGCTCTCCTTAGCCAAATTAAGGCCTCGTATAGCAAGAACTATATCGGAGTGAGTGTGGTCGAGGTACAGTAAGTACGGCGGCACTTTGCCACGTGTGTCTTTGTAGTTTTTTTTCGTGATCAAGCATTTCGGATCTATGTTGTAGGATTGAGGAGGCTGCATAGTTGGCTGTGTGAGGTCTTTTTCGTATACGGCTAGTATGTAGCGGCAGAGGCGAGGGATCGGGTCGAATTCTTCGGGGGTGGCGTGGGCCCACGACTCGCTGTCGCGGCTTGCATTGTGGAGGCATCTCTTGCAAGCCCATCTAGTGCATGCTAGGCAGTATACGCATTCGAGAATGGGGAGACCGCAGATAATTGACATCGGCTCCCTCTTAATATTTGATCTAAAGCATCAATATAACAGAATAAAAGGGAATTATAATATTATATATATAGAGTTTCAACTGATAATTAATTTGCAATGAATTTGGTGAAACTGCAAATATGAAATGGAAACTAGAGAAATATAAATCAGATTCACCAGTCCCAATAACAGAAATATGAATCAAATAAAAGATCCTTCAAAATTACCAAGGAAAATAATTTCTAGAAATTAAAAAAAAATGAAAAATTGAAAAAAAAATTACTTGTGAATTCAATCAAATAAACAGGAAATATTAAATCAAACAGATGACGAAATGTAGAATGCGAAACAATCCATCAAAATAGCGATGAACAATCAAAAGGAGAGATTACCGGATAAAAGGAACTGGAGCATCAAATTAGCAAAATTGATCGGAGAAAATTGAATGAGGATCTTTAATCATCAAAAAGGGCGTGAAAACATCCAGGAATCTGGGAGCTTCGTGAGTATACACTACAGTTTGTTTCGTGGTGGCGTAAAGAGATCGATCGATCGATGGGTAAAGGGAGAGAGAGATGAAAAACGAGATCTATTTGCATAGACTATGAATAAAAATGTGATTAAAACAATTGTTGATGTTGTGTAGTGAAGAAGATTAGCAACTGAAAGAGACGATGAGTGAGAAAATGGAAGAGAGAGAAAATATGGGGTGACTCGGCCGAGTCAGTCCAAAATGAAGAACTTCACGGCTGGCCACAGGCTCCAAGTCAACTAACCGCTCTCTGTATTTTATATTATATACATACAACTACTTACTGTTTTGAACAAACTGAAAAATGAAAGTAAAAAAAATAATGGCTGTGTTTGGTAAGCTTTTGGGCTTCCATTTCCATTTTATTTTGGGGAAAGATGTTTTGGGAGAAGAATTTGAAAATTAAATAAAGTTTGTTTGTGTTTTGGGAGGAGACAATTTGTACTGTAGCAAGTCAAATCATGTCTGAAAGGTGTTGGAAAAATGTATTTTGGAAGAAGAATTTAAAAGATAAAGTGATTTGATTTTGTATTTTAGTGAAGACAATTTTCAGTGTAGCGGTCAAATCATGTTTGTTAGAGAGAGAAATATTTGAATTTGTTTTGGGGAAAGTTTTTGAAAATAGTGTAGAAAGATAATTTTCATTTTGGGGAAAGTGTGGAAAGAATTTGAAAACGGTAACAAACATAGCCAATAATTTTGGTGACGTTGGTCTATGATATGAGATGCTGCTACACCTGGTAAAAAATTCGAGTGATTTTACACTGTAGATCTATACAAATAATCATCGATGAAACACATATATATATATGGGTGTTTGTGATGTTGCTGCGTGTAAATCAACGGTGTAGGATCACTCCATGTATTTCATCTCGTGTAATAAGTTAACAACTACAAAACCATGTTAAAATTGGAGATATTTTAGTTACCAATGTTATTTTTTTCTTTTTTCTTAGTTACCTTTGTTTTCTTTATTTGATTTTTAGATTATTGTTTTAGGTATGATTTTGTTGAAAAATATTAGGTATGATTAATAAAAAAAAAACTGGATTTTGTTCGATATTTGGTAAAACCTGGATCGACCCAAAAATGTTATTTTATCATAACATGTCTCACCATTTTAGAAGATTATTTGTTGGAACGTCCGTGATTGAACAGTATAATTGGATTTTTATTAAATTATTTAATCCTATTTTAGATAATCTTATCTTATCAAACCACATCTAAATTATTGCATCTCATTGGAGAAAACTTCAATTCATACCACATGTTGGTTTTTATTTTGAGATAAACGAAGCAATTTGAAAGTTGCATCGAATTATTGTGATAGCTTGATTCGGCTAGATCATTTAAAGTTCGATTTTAGTTTCATTTACGCTCACACGTTACGTGTTTGATAAATGATATAACATATATAAAGTTCGACTCACATTTGAGTCGTTCAGAACAAGAACGATAAAACATGTACAAAGATATTAAGCCATTCGAAGTTCAACTCCTTTTCAAATTTGACTTTATTGATAAATCAAAATTAAAAATTAAACTCAAACACAAGTTTTGAAACTCAATAAAATTCAAACACACTTGAGCAGTCATGCATTCGACCTTACTCGATTGTTTTGCATTTCTATGGATGAGTATTAATTATGTAAAATAATTATATACTTCTAATATTGTTACAATAATAAAAAAAATGAGAGTTGGATTAGTAATAATAAAACAAAAAAAAGTCATTAATTACATTGTCGAAATTTTAAAGTGAAATATAATACGAAGAAAAAAAAAATTTATCTAAAAAGACAAATAATACGGAAAAAAAATGATATATATAAAGTAAAAATTACAACATATATTTATTGGGCTTGTTTTTCGGCCCATCAATACAAGGCCCAAATAGATTTAGGCGCTTCTCAAAATCCCAGACCTAAAAACTCCATATAAACAATACGTTGTTCCGAAACCCTAATTTCATCATCCCTACCAGAGTGTCAGCGGCGTATCATAGCAGGAAAAGGTCAGCAATTTCTCCTGATTTTTTTTTTCTCGAATGTAAACTAACAAGTAGCTAATCCGCGTTCGTGTGTGTGTTTTTGCGTGTTTTCTTCAAATACACGATACATTTTCACATAGGTGTGTGTGTGTGTGTGTGTGTGTGTGTGTGTGTTGGGTGTTTTGTTGAGATATACGATACATTTTCATTTAGGTTTTTGTTCTTAATTCATTGATTTGGAAATTAATGAATACACAGACGAAATTTCATAGGTGAAAAACTGAATTAATAATTTTTTTTATTTTTTATTTGGAAATAGGCAATGGCACCGAAGCAACCAAACAGTGGGATTTCAGTTGGGCTAAAGAAAGGGCATATTGTTACCCCAAAGGAGTTGGCTCCTCGCCCTTCTGACAGGAAAGGGGTAAGCTTTCTTACATGCTTATCAATTTGGTAGATCAATTTTATGGATTATTACATATTTTTTAAAGATTGGTTCTTTACTTTTTATTGATATGTATAGATTGAACTTGCACCAATGTTCATTTCAGTTTGTAGAAGCAAAAAAAAAATTATTAATGATGGAATAACTTAAACTGATTGCATGAAATATTTGTCCAGTTCAAAAGTTCAATCATGTGCTCTTATGTTCAGATTGTCACGGTTTTGTGTGGTATAAGTGGAGTTCTTAATCTTCTTTCAAGGAATTTGAATATGTATTTGGATCAAACTTACCATTTAGCTCGTCTAAAAGTTCAGACTTTTAAGCTGGAAAGCGATTATTTCTTGTATGTGTAGCTGCATTGTGACTTCCCAGTCGGTATTTGTGCAATGTGTGTAGTTCCGTTTGCTTAAAGCTGTTTGAATGAATGCAGAAAACAAGCAAGAGGGTTCATTTTGTGAGGAGTCTGATTAGAGAAGTTGCTGGATTTGCACCTTACGAGAAGAGAATCACTGAGCTTCTGAAAGTTGGAAAGGACAAGCGTGCCCTTAAGGTAGCCAAGCGAAAGTTGGGCACCCACAAGAGGGCCAAGAGGAAGAGAGAGGAGATGTCTGGTGCTCTCCGTAAAATGAGGTGATTTTACTCGAATGAATTCTTCGGTTTTGCTATCTTGATTTTGGTGCAACTTTTTCTTGTTCGGTTTTGACTTTTTTGTCTATGAATATGGTGCTTTCGTCGTTGTATATCTGACTATATCTTGTGATTTCTGCAGAGCTGCTGGAGGTGCTGAGAAGAAGAAGTGAAGACTGTTTTCCGAGTGAAATGGATGGATTACATTTTGTTTCGAGTTTTGATGTATTTTGTTTCTCATTTAGAAGAAAAAACCATGTCTTGAACCTGATTTTTCGCCTTAGCAGCAACTTATATTTCGTTATTCCATCTCTGCTTTTATATAATTTAGACATTAATTATTTTCAGTTATCTTTCAGAATATGGGCGGATAATTGAAATGTGTGTTATGGTCTTTACTAGATGTGCTTGCAATTTCATGATTACGAGTTTCTCTAATGCTTTAGTGCAGCCATAGTCTGTGACTGAGTTATCCTGTCGATTTTCTAATAGCTTAGTTGTGTTGTTTGGTACTTGAAATGAAGGAAAAACGTTTACGGGTTAAGTTTAAATTTGTTTCAAAGGGAGAATGGTAATATTACATGCGAAGATTGATACTAATCCTCGGCCACAGAATTGACAAATTTTCAGTTCTCGAAAAAGCGTTCTCCTGATTGTATTTGGTCATCAGAAGAATGGTAAACGATTGAGAAAATTGATTTATACCAGCATTCATGATTGCAATTGCAGATGAATAAGTAACTTCAATTCAAAAATTGCAAGTGATAACCCTGCGTTATTGGGCACAATAGACAACCATTATACATCAAAGGTGTTTCCGTTTCTACAATTTTCTCGATAGATATTAATTTACTCGACAGAAATTACTTGTTGATAAAAACATTATTCGTGCTATCAGAATGTTTTAATTCATCTTCTTATGCTCCGTTATGCAAAATGGAAAAATAAGTTTATAAAGCAAAAATGGAGGGTGGGGGGGCTAAATCATGTCTTGAACTTCTGCGACAATCTCTCAACCCCTTCTTTCCAATCTCCAGCAGCTCGTTTAACACCTTCCTTAACAGACGAAGTTAATTCAGCAGATTTATGCTGAAAGCCTTGTACAGACTTGTCCAGCTTCAATTTGGCCACATCTTTTAGCTCTCCCGTTTTTTCCTTCAAGCTCGTTACGAACACGACTATCCTCTCAATGATTTTGGTGATTGTAACTTTGCATTTCCCTCTCACTTCATCTGCCATTTTCTTGAGTTTGTCCACTAAGCTCTCGGACCTCTCGATGGTCTCTTCGACTGAGAATTTCTGCCCAGCAGAGAGCCATGTGGCTTCAGCTTCAGCTTCCTCCTCACGAAGGTCACTGTCGACCACAACTTTTAAGCCTTGTCTCTCCCAACGGTCTCTAGCCTCGTCCAGGGCCTTTGCTTGCTCCCTTGCCCTTTTTGCCTCGTCTTCAGCCCATGACCTGCGCAATAATATACCAATTTAATATTAACCTTTTCACAAGAAAATAAACTCTTTGAACTTGGGATTTGAAATCCATCCACCAAATCCCTCAATCCAAACAAGTGCAAGGGATTTGTTATTATGGATTTGAGATTCCTCTTCCAAATCCATCCATCTAAATGGAGCCTACGAGAATTTTTTTCAGTATTCCTAATGCTGTCTTCTCTTGATCATCGTAATCATTTATACAAACCTTGCAGAAAGCTTAACTTTAGAGTGTAAACATGAGAAATGAAGTTTCTCACCTGGCCATGGACAGGGCTTTTCTCTCAACTTCAAGTTCATATTGTAAGCGTGTTATTTCCTGATTCTCAGTTTCTGCATCTCTCCGGAGTTTGTTCATCCTTTCCTTCTCATATGATATCTCCAATTTATCAGTCATAAGGGTCTGCAATTGTTCCTCCATCTCCCGTCTTAACTTAGAGAAAACCTCCATTTTAGAGTCAACAGCAGCACGTTCCTTCATTAATGAAAGACTTTCCTCCTCCCTCTCAGCCCTCAGTTTCTCCACTTCTCGTCTTGCTTCTTCAGCCAATTTCTCAACAGCATTTATCTTTTCCCTTTCCAGGAAAAGATCCTTCTCGTAACTTGCATTGAGATCCTTCTCAACTTGAGCAACGAGAGCACTGTGTGCAGAAACAGCCTTTTCTGCCATAGATTCAGCCTCAATTCTCGCAAGTTCCTCACTAACTATGACAGAAGAATCACCAGTTGAAAGTGCAATGGCAGCCTGTGCCTTTGTCACAGGTTTTTCTGGCTGGAAAAGTCTTGTATATCCTGTTAGGCAATAAGACAATACAACTCTTATACACGAGAGAAACACATACTCGAAGAACATAATACATTGATATATGAAACTCACCAAATGCTAGGGTTATAATACCCTGATCTCCAGCTTCTAAGTCAGCTACAAGTGCAGGCCATGCACCTGGGTCGATCTTTTCAATATCTATGAAACCAGATACCTGCTGCAGGATCTAAAATGCAGCAAAAAGCAAGTCCAGTTATAATCTCATCAATGATATCAGTGCTATCTGCAAAAAGTTACAAAATAATATTTTTTTAAATTTTATGACCTTTCCATCAACTACTGGTAGCTGCCTTTTCTCTAGGGCCATCTTCCAACTCACCAGATCCTGACGAGACAAAGGGCTGTCGAACAAAATATTGATCATTAGTTTAGCTGTGAATTATAATTTGCAAAAAATTCCTTAAACCCGCTATATTAGGCAGCTAATCAACTTCATGTGCAGCAATAGAACTGAAAGTTGAACAGATAATACAAGGAACTCGTTCATTCCATGGCGAACATGAATTGAAAAACACTTCAATGAATGTTTAAGCTAACAAAAAAAATTGAATATAGAGAAGAAACAGTTAAGACAATGTTCACTTACAAAAAGAAACTTGGGAAAAAGAGAATATATATATATATATATATATATATATATATATATATATAAATATATATATATATATGCTCGAAGAAATAAGTCAGAAACTTAATCTCCGTAAACCTCTCATTGGATCTAGTAAACCATCAACCGTCGTCTTTAGCCACAACTCATCTACTAAGTTAGTTTTGATTTTAGAAGTAAATGATGAGTTCAAAAAATAAAAGCATCAAATAGAGGAATCAGGAATACAGAAACAAAAACAGCAATTGGACCAGAAAATGCGATTGCATTATAAGGTCGCAATTGAACAGATCGAGCAAGCTCAAATTGAGGATGACTCAGTGGGATTATGAGCAAGTATGTACACCTTTCAGGAGAGAAGTATATAGGACTCGAGTCTTCATTGTCATATGACTGCATGTCACTCCTTGAAAGCTTGCTGGCAATTAGTCCAGCTTCTGCCAAGCCTGGAAACATCGAAACTAGTTCAGAGACAAGTCTCGACACTGAAGAATTGCACAAGTTAAATATTAACCTTGAATGGATGGGAAATCAGGATCTTCAGGTGTAATGTCATCAAATGCAAGTTCAGAAATATTTTCAATGTACATAGCAGGATAGACTTTTGAAGTTGTGTTCCTATAAAAATTAAGAGGAAGTAAGCTCAGCAATAAATAAATTTTGAATAATTTGAAGTCAAGATCTTCCATTGCCTCTCATTATACCAATCAAATATTACCTGGACAGAGCACTGCTGGCTAAGACCAACCAACGAGCATATTCACGACGAGTGCATAAATCTCCAGGTTGAACATCCTCCTCAATCACCTACCAGTGTTCAGGAAATTAAGATTCAGATCCACAACTTCATAAAGTAGATGACTTTTACAACTGAAACTCTAGATCATTGGAGATACCATATTAATTCTCCTATGTTAAGACTAACAGTATTGCAACTTTTTTTGTTGCTTTTTTGCCCAGTACAAAGAGCTAGCATAATTTTCACTGATAACGAGAAATTTTTTAAGCTATTAGTGGATCTTCATACATGAGAGCTCTTCCTACTTGCATAGTTTCATACTAGTCTACTCTGGAATTTATTTTCTTCATTTTTGAAATCCAGAACATCTCATACTAGATCTGAAAAGCTTGTTTCACACACACACACACACAAAATATGTGCCATAAAAATTACAAACAGAAAATGCAAGATTTCTAGCATAGTGATGGCCGCTTAAAGTATTATTGGGACTTCCGTTTTCAATCACAATTCAATTGCCAAGGCTTAGAAACTTCTAACATTTCATAATGCGAAAACAGTTTCATCTAAGAGTTCTTCAAACTAATAAACTGACGCCTCAGAACCTCACCGACTCTCTCTTCCTATCAATCACTAGCAGAGAGTAATGTTTGCGAAACTCATGCACTGTATCGACTCTTTCTCACAATCATAAAATAGACATATTAACTCACATAATTCATGTTATTGTTGTAGATTTTATTGAAGCAGAATCCAGTTGCTGAAGTAATGTAACTTACCTTTAAAACTTGCAAAGCAGATAATGCTTGACTCTGAAGTTGATCAATAACTGCAGGAACCAAAACCTTTCCTGGAGGAGCCTGCAGAGCTGCAGAGACGACAGATGGAGCAGGTATGCCAGCTGAAGTGAAATACTTTCCAGGATTTGTAGAGTCAAAAAAGGATTGGCTAACTTTGATGTCATTGTAATCTTTTTCAAGGTGTTCATTTCGTGATTGATAGGCTTCTTCTGGTAATGGTGGTGCTCCAGTTGATACAGAAACCTCCAACACTTTGCTTAGGTCAACATCCATGTTTAAAATCTCTACGGTTCCCTCATCATCCCTAGTTGAAAGCACACTTCCGGACTCCAAAATTTCTTCTTGGATAATGCTTGATCCACTAACTGCTTCCAACTCTGCTGCGACTGAGGTATTTAAATTTGAATTCTCAACAGAAGAAGGGTTCAGTAACAAGTTGGAATCTTCCCATGCTTCCAAGCTAGACACTCCATTCGGATGATCAGTGACTAAATTTTCTATATTAGCATCAAATACAGATGGTTCCAAAATTATGGCACCAGTCTCTTCGCCTGGTTCACTGGGGTTTTCAGAAGCTAGGGAACCACCGGTAATATCAGACACAGGTGGTTTTTCAGTGGCTTCAGAAGAAACCAAACTGTTACTATCAGCTGATTCTCTTTGAGTAGCTTCCGAAGTGGAGCCATCACCATCCACAGATGAATGCCGCAAATCAGAATCATCATTAATTCTAGTTTCAATAGCTTCACTACTTTCATTATACAGAGACGGATTCCCTTTTGTACCTGTCTGGCTTTCTTCACTGCCGTTCTCCAGCTTCTCATCCTTATCACCATTTTTCTCCTCTTCAACTTGATTCTGGTTGTTATCGGAGGACAATGACTTTTCTTGTTCTGTTGTTAACGGCTCGAGTTCTTTAACTCCTGTAATTATGAGACGGTGCATTTTTTTTTTTTTAATATCCAACTATAGTATGATGAAAAAGGGTATTTACCCGAGGCACATACGGTCGGGTAATAACATAGGTGAAGATATTTAGAAATATTACAGTACTCCAGGGAAATGTAAATATTATTTGAAGGGAATTTTTCCATAAGCAACACGATCTTTTCAAGGCATTGTTATTTCCACTATTCGCTAACGAAATGAGAATAGTTTCAATAGATTCAATTCGCTTTGCGCATGCCCAAGCTGTACACGAAAAGAAGAATTTACTCACTTGATTTGCCCCTATTACTTATAGACAGCGCCGCAAAAGTTAGGCCAGCAACCAGAACAATCCCGACAGCTCCTGCTCCAAGTATCCCTGAAAGTAAACTACTTCACAAGTGTTATTAGTCTACAAGAGAAACCATCAGCATCAGAAATCTACAATTTCATCACAGAAAAAGCACCCACCCACATACTAAACCCAGAATAAGCTGCATTCATTATTAATTAGTTTCATAGTTTTAACTTCCATTCAGACGAGCTTGGCACAAATTTTACATAAAATTCGTTCATTTCAATTGAATCAAAACGAAATGGATGACCTCATCCCTGATCATCAGAAATCTACAATTTCATCCAATAAAAAGTGCCCACCCACATACTAAACCCAGAACAAGATGCATTCATTATCAATTTGTTTCCCAGTTTAAACTTCCATTCAGACGAGCTTGGCATAAATTGTACATAAAACTCGTTCATTTCTATTGAATGAAAACGAAATGGACAACTGAAATGAACGAGCTCGTTTCCGATCACCAGTTTCAGAAATTAGGTGAAGCAAGATTGTTTTAAAGCCAGAGTTAAGTCGAGACATAGCATCACACCCAATATTTCAGCACTTTTACCAATCAATTGCATCAGAAAACCATTTTCATGATTATTCAGAAACATATAATGGTTAATCGAATTTCACACTATAGCAACTAAACATAACAAAATCTCAACCCACTCACCTATAAGCGATTGCTTAGGTTTGGGATCGCCAGAGTTCGGTTCGGAATCAGCATTGGACCAACCCGAGAAATCATCAGCCGAAGAATTCAAATTAGACCATGACGAATTCCCAGAACTACGCTTTTCCAATCCCTTGCCGTTGACCGCACTACTCCGGACCACCACCGGCACAAAATTAACACTGCGCCGACCGACCTTCAGGGAGCGAGTGTACACAAACGTCGATGGATATTTCCGGCTACCGAGTGCCAATTTGAGCTGAAACGAGCTTGGACAAAACGTCGTCGTTGCAGTCAAAGCATTCATCTTCCGGATTTGGCTACAATCCCCACCTCGACGGAATGCAGCGATGGAGTTTGCTGCAATTGGTTGTGGATATTATTTCTGTAGCTTGAAATTGTTCAAATTCGAGAGCGAAAACTTCCGGTGGATAAATTCAAGGGTTTTGTAGTTGCATTCTGAATTTCTGATTAGGGCTTTGCATGTATGTATTTATCTGTGTGTATGTATATAAAATTTGTATATATGTTATCTACCTTATCCAACGGATCGGTTAAATCGAGTTTTCAGTGACCAACTGAATTACCTAAACCGGATTTAGCTACAGTAGTGTTCAATTTCGTTATTTCCTATGTACTTTTTTTTTAGAAAAATTTTTAATCCCACTTTGCACCCTTGAAATATAATCTTTTAGCACTTTTACCGTCAAAAAATATTTATAACACTTTTCATTCTAAGTACATAATTAATCATGCACGATTCGCCCTAAATGAATTCTTAAACGTGCTAATGAACTTAATTTAATATTTTTAATAGTATTTGTAGTAAAATTCCAAATGTCAAATCAGTTTTTTTATATTCATCAATCCTTTCAAAACCACAAAATGCAAAAATAAAAATATCTCATCAACATATTTATTTATATAAAAAGAACATAAAAGAAAATCTTCAACGTTTTTGGTATCAAGTTATTTAAAATTATATTTTCTTCAAATATTTCCACCAAATATTTTCACTAGTTACAATAAAAAAATAATCAATCTAATACTTTAGTGAGAAAAACTTTTTTTTCTTTTGGTAAGAAAATAGAGTTTTTTTCCGTAATTCGTTGTATAGATTTTTTTTTTTTCGCTTATTGTACACACAAAATTATACTATAGCTGGAATAAGATAATAGTGTAATTTGTTATCTTGCACCTGTAAATAAAAAATCAATAAAAACTGAAATTAACCTCATTAAGTTTTAAATATTCAATTCATGATGCATTGCGACTGATTTATTGTATTTCGAGAATGCAAAGTACTGTTAAATTTTTGTAAGGGTAAAATGTGCCAAATTGCCAAATTTCAAATGTACAAAGTGGGATTAAGCCGATAATGTTTTTTACAAAATTTAAGAATATTCAAATGAATTATTAAAAAAAGTCAAATTTTTCTTTTTATTAAACTCAAAAATAGCATAAATGAAATTTCAAAAGTAAAAGGCCAATTTCAGTGGGGCAACAATAATACTAGGGGACAACTATTTTGAATACTTATTTTTGCTTAGTTGAATACCAAAAAAATAAAAAATAAATAATTAATTGTAAATTACTTTAATACCCTTAATGAAAATTAAAACCAAAAAATATTACAAATACTATTTTTCTTTCTTAAAAACCAAATAATCAAAAACCTGAAAAAAACATTTCCCTCCTCACTCACAAACCCCTCACCTCCTCCACCTCCTTCTTCTCCCTCCCCAAAAACCCTCCTAAAAAACCCCAAAACAAAAGAAATCAAAACCTTACACAACTTGCAAAATGGCCTCAAATGACAATAGAATGGTAGTTTACGAGCAAGGAGAACCCATTCAGGTATGTATTCATGTATTTTTTGAGCTAAAACATCGATTTTTTTTTTTTTTTTTTTTTAAAACTCGCCATGTATTTTCGACACATACAGGTCGAAAATACCCTTATTTTTCGACATGTATGTGTCGAAAATACCCTTAAGTTTCGACGCCTAAGTGTCGAATTATGATGCCATTTTCGACACTTAAGTGGCGAAAATATGGGAAATTTTCGACAGTTAAGTGTCGAATTGGTTCCTGTTGCTAAATTACTTGTCTTATAATTTCAACACTTTTTTGGAGATCTATTGCGCCCATTCATTTGCCATTTTCGAAAATTTCGTAACAAAATAAGCTTTGATGGCATTGGTTCGGGAAAATGTTAAAGAATTTGGAATGGGGTTAATGATTGGGGGTTCTATTGACAGGGATAAAAGGACGTAGGACAACCGAAAGTGATTGTTCCATTGTGACCGTGGGGGGCCATTATGTTGGGAGGAAGGTTCCCAGGGGAAGAAGGATCAAAGGACCCGGGGAAAAGGAGCCCCCGGTACAAAGAAATGCAATTGGTCCGTTTTAAATTGAAGGGGAAAAAAAGAACACAAGGATGGATGAAAGGGCTGGAGTGGGAATTGGGAGGGTAGTTGGGGCAT